ATGCCTGGCAGTGTTCCAGGCCAGGTTGGTTGGGGCTTGGAGCAACCTGGGATAGTGGAAGGTGTCCCTGCCCATGGCAGGGGGTGGAACTGGATGATCTTTCCAACCCACCCCATTTTATGCTTCTAGATTCTATGATTTACTGGTCACATCGATCTGCCCAGAGATTTCTGTGCCTAGGGTTTTTCAGCGAGTTCTGTGAGCACAAACCTTTCCACAGGGTTGAAGCTGATATGGTTTGTTACAAGGAGCTGGAGTGCATCCTGTGCTTGCCACTCACTAGGCCCCAGTCAAAACTCCTTTTTGTTTGGTTAACATGGGCTCAGCTCATGCCTGTGACTGCTCCAGCTGGGATTTGGGAGCAGTATTTGGATGTGGCCTGGCCCTGTTCTGGCACCCCACACTCCTCAGCATGGTGCTACACCCTGATAAGCAGTCCTGAGAGGGGCTCTGGTGATGAATTCTTTTGGCAAAGCAACAAATGACCCCACTGGCCCAAAGCCCTGCATCAGAGATCTGTGCACTAGAAAATGCTCTGCCCTCACTCAGCAGTGTCCCAGTGAGGTGTCATGCTGAGCTAGTCTGAAAATTTAACCCATGGATGAAGGAGCATCAAAAATATATTTGTTCTAACTAAGGAGTAGTTTTGTATCTCTGAATCAAAACCTTTCTGTGGCTTGGTCCCTTTTGAAACTGGGAACATTGTGTAAGCCTTGCTGGGTGCCTGTGCTGAACCCTGGGCATCTCCCACCCTTGCATCTCCCACCCTTGCATCTCCCACCCTTGCATCTCCCACCCTTGCATGTCCCACTGCTGCTCTGTGCTGGTAACAGGGACATGATCCACGAGGGCAGATGAAGAGCAAGGGGCACTTTCTTTTCCAGCTCTCCCCATGCCCTATCAGCACAAGGCAGCCCATAATTCTGCAGCCAGCTTTGAGGACAGGACACCCACCACAGGGTCCAGCTGAGGACTGAAAGTTGTCTCTCCATGGGGCAGGACTGCCTGTGCCTGGGCAGCCTGACCTGCCCTCCAGCTCCATGTCCTGTCCCCTCTCTTAGACCAAGTCTTTTTAAAAGGCAAACCAGGAGGGTAAAAGGTGGGGGATTTCCTCCTGGGCATGACTTGGTGACACTGTGGGTTAAGTGTGTGGCTATTTTGAAACAAAGCAGGGTGAGAGGCAATGGGGTCTCTGCTGCCATCCGTGGGGTTCATGAGCATGTGCTGGAGTTGGGGTTGGTGCAGGGGCTGTGCTGTCCCTCTCATCAGTTTTAGACTGGCAAATTCCCAAAGCTTTCCAGACCATGTCCTAGTGTCTTCTGCAGGTCTGTAGGATGGCAGGACTGAGGAGGTACCGAAGGCTTCCCACTGAGCCCAGTGGGAGAGGCTGGTGGGTCTTGTGGGGCTGCAGATGACCTCTGCATTTGGGAGAGAGGGAGGGAAAAACTAACTTTTTGTTTCCAGGCTCTTCATCTTTCTCACAGAGCTGGAAAATAATGGAAAGAAAGTGTGTGGGATAAGGAAGGAAGATCTTGTGTGAGGCACACTCTGAAGCTGAGAGCTGTTGTCTTGGTCACGGGAAGCAGCTGCTGCAGTGGGACTGGGTCTGATGTGCACAGAGACACTTGGCAAAAGTGTCCTCAGGAGCATCATGGAACAGATCCACTCTCTGCAGCTTGTTTTAAAAGGTGAAGAGCTGACAGGAGCCTGCCTAGCACAGCTTTTCAAACAACAGGACAGCGTGTGGCTGCCATTCAGGGCAGCTATCACACAACAGGCTCGCACAGGGGCAGTGGGGGAGAGCTGAACTTCAGATAACCTGCTAAGACTGAAGCAAGATCAGCTGAGAAGATGACCCTGGCTTTCCACTGCTGCCAGTACCAGCAGAAGCCGGAGATGGAGCAGTCCTGGCTCAGACAGAACAGCTCACTGGGCTTTGTTGCTGGCTTTTGTCCACAGGCGGGCGGCTTTCCGCAAGGCTGGCTCCCCACTCCCTGCAGAGCTGTGCAAAACTTGCATATCACCACAAAGCATGACAGGGCGAGCTAAGAACCAGAGCTCACAGCGCACATCAACTCAGCTCAAAGCCAAGGTGAGGGTTGTTCTGTCCCCACGTGGGGATTTGCCCTCCTGGGGCTCCATGAGAACCCTGAAGTGAGGAAAGCAGGGAAAAAAACCTTCATCTTGAAGAGCTTGTGGAGAAGCCACAGGTGCTCCAGGGTACTTGATCGGGATGGAGGATCAGGACAGGGCTTGGGGGGGAGTTACCCTCAGAAGAGAGACAAAAAATTAAACTCCTCAGAGTTTTTGAAGTTATTTGTGCCCTGAGTTAGTGCTCTTGATGGGTGTCCTCCTTACAGCATTTGGTGAAAGTGAGTCTGAGGGTTGTTTAGCAGCAGTTTATTTTTAGCCACGATGACTTGTGACAGTACAATGGTGTTGCAACACCCCAGGTCTTGTCTGTGGTTTCCCTGTGCTTTGGTTCTGGAGCAGCTGAAGGCTCCTGACAGGGGCTCACTGTGCTGGAAAGTGCAGAGATGTCGCAAGAGCCGGTTGCCTCCCAAGGAGGCAAAGAACAGACCTGCAAAAGCAGAAAGAGGGAAGTGGAGTCTGCCTGTGTGTCCTTGTCACAGCCCCACGGTGGCTCGAGCCACCTACCCTGACCCCAGCACAGCCAAGTGCTGCACAACCCCCATGGGCCTTCTTCTCTGAGGGGATGGAGATGGGAGGCTCCTGCCACAGGAGCTCCTTCCAGCTCTCCTTCCAGCCTTGCTCCTTCTTGCACAGCTGCTTTGCTTTCCCCTCTGTCTCCTCCATGAGCATGAACCACACTGCTCTAAAATATGTAATGCTCTAGCAACATCACTGCAACTGTATGAGGTGACAGAACTGGAAACCAACACAGGGCCAGGGAGGAGACTGGGGGCCAAAAGGAAATCTAAACCTACAGCCCATCACTGTAACTAAACCTGTCTGCCAAAGGCAGCCTTCTCAGTTCAGCTTCTTACCTGGTGTAAGAGAAGAGACATCAAAGGCGTACGGATCTGGTTTCCTCAGCTACTGTCCTTTTGCTTGTGCCTGCTTTCTGCCTGTGCAAATCCATTAACTCTTGCCCAAGGTAACAGCTCAGAATGAGGTACCTGATCTGCCTCTTTTCAGGCAACACAACCTGAGATTAAAGCTGTGTGAGCTTGGCATGCCGCTCTGTAAATCCCTACGTGTTGATTCCCTGTCTCCTCCTCAAGTTTTACAGGATGCCGACAGCTTTCTGCCTGTTTTATGGTTTCATGGCAGTAGCTCGACACATCAATATGAGAATTAATTAATCTTGGCTACAGGGTAGGCAGCAGCTCAGGCAGCCCAAGAGCAAACAAGGTCAGGATTTCAGCAGCAGCCCATTTAGAGAACTTGCTGGGGCTCCAGCAGAGCAGCCTCATCTCTGCAATTTTTATTTGGATCACTGCTCTCTTGCCTTGTTTGCAAGTTCTGTCCTGTTGGCAAGGCTGCTGTGAAGCCAAACCCAGAAGAATATAGCAGATGACTCTGCTCCACACAGGGAGCAAGGATTAGGGCAGGGATAGCGTTTGGCTCACACACACAGTCACTGCAAAACAATTATTGACTTAAAATCCCTTTACTGATGTCCCAACTTTCATTTGATGATGTTAAAAGGTCAGAATGAAAATTAAAGCTGTTTTTTCCCCTAATCCCTTTAAGTGCTAAATTCATGGAAAGCAATTAAATCGACAATTTAGTTTCAGATGACGGAGAAACTCTGCTCCTCAAAGGATGCCTGGATGAAATGTGGTTTGTGAGAATGGGATTGGCCTCCTGTTACAAAGATCCTCCTCGATAAGTGAATACTCCAGGACAGCCATACTCATTGCAGTGCTCAGCCCTGCAACATGCCCACAGATCACAGTGAAAGACTTTGAGCAGCAGCAATAAATACAGGGGAAAATAAAGATTTATGTCAGACTGGTCTAATTAATTTTTTTCCTGAAAAAAAATCAATAAATCATTACTGCTACTAGTGAACAATATTTATCAAGTTGATGCTGCTCTTTACAGTCCTTGGTAGGTATGAATTTTTTTTTTAATTTTCTTTATTAAATTTTTCTTCTTCTTGTGTAGCCAAACTTTCTCTGGATCATCAGAGTGCAGAGTGAGGATGCCCTGATGGAGAGGAGGGATGTCCTCTCTCCATGGAGAGGAGCACAGCGAGTACAACCATGGTGGCAGAATTAAAGGCAAGCCCAAAGGAGGGCTTGAGGGTGATGTGATTCCTTTCTTCCTCCAGCCCTGGTCACAGACCCTGCTCCAGCTGAATGCCCTCAGCTCAGGCAGGCAATAACCCAACAGGCTGCGAGGTGGTAGATTGCATCTTGCATGGTTTGGTTGGGATGTAGCCAGCTCGTTTCCTTGGTGCCTGTTGACAGAAGGGCTTTTACTGCACACACAAGCCTTAGCAGGAACAAAACCCATGTCTCCCCTTCTAATAGGAGAATGGAGAGATATGACTCTGTCAGCAAAATGTATTTTTCATGGCAGTGTGTTGGGTTGGAAGGGAGGTAGAAATCACCCTGTTCCAACCCCCTGCTATGGGCAGGGACATCTTCCACTACATCAGGTTGCTCCAAGTCCCACCCAGCCTGACCTTGAACAATTCCAGGGATTGTGCACCCACAGCTGCTCTGGGCAACCAGGAAAATAATCCTGGGCTTTCTCATCAAGCTGGAAAGCTGATGAATAGTGGTGTGTGGATTTGCATGGCCCAGCCCCTATAAACTGATAGTTTTATTCCCATGTGAGATGACCCTTTGTAATCTAAACCACAATGGTTGGCCATCCTGGTGAAGCAGGAAAATCCTCTTATTAGGAGCAGAAACTTATTAAATTCCCGTTTATCACTCTTAAACAGCAGCTCCAGCCATCCCTCTGTCCCAAACCCCTTGGCTTCAATTTTTTTTCCTTTTTATTTTATTTTATTTTTTTTTAGTTTTAAATTTGCCTAGGAAATTTGTTGTCCTGAGAACAGTTCTGAGAAACATGTTTTCCATGACTGGTTCCTTCAGAAATGTTATTACTGGCCTGGGAGAATTCTCGTACAATAAGATTAAGTTTCTCTTACTGGAAAATTCAGACACTACAAATTTTTGATGTCAAAAAAACCAAACAAGTAAAAACAAGTAATTTCCTAAGAACATACACAATCTGGTGTTGGTAGTTTTTCATGGGAAAATGCTTCACTCCAGTGTATGTGCCTGTTCCTAAGGAAACTAATGGCAGATGGGGTGAGAGGAAAAACACACAGGATAATTACAAAGCCCCACTTATCAACCTGCTCCTAACCATTCTTTGGAGTGGTAGGCAAACATGCAAAACACTGAACCACTCTGTACTTTTATGATGCTTTGAAGTGCGAGTTCCAAAGAAATTTTAACTCGCATCACTTCAGCATTTCCATAGCTGGGTAGTGCTGCTGTCTTGGGGCAACAGCCACCATCTGGCTTTCCAGAAAGAAGTCCAAAACAGAGGACCTAGTTGGAGATGCCATGTCCTTAATCAAGAGAAGAGGTGGGCAAAGGAGGGTGCTTGTGAAGTCTTGATGGATAAATCCCACCGTGGTTCTTCTCACATCCTAAGGGGTATTCCCACCATGCAGCTTTCGGTGCTCTGGGGTGGCATCTTTGAAGCACAAACAGGTTGGCAGAAGGGGAACCATCATCCTTGACACATTTCAGAGGTGATTTTTTCAGGGATCTTTTAGTCAGGGTGTGCTCCCCACTTTTCTTGACTCACTCTCCAGAGTGGAGTGGCAACGAGAGGTGCTGAGTGTCGACCCTGGGGAGCCTCTGCCATCAGCAGATGCAGGTGTTGGCAAGTGCAGGCGGGCTGCTAAAAATATCTTGCATGCTTTATTCTTGCTTCAAAGGCCATTAAGTATTTCTATGAGAGTCTTTTTCATCTTCAGCATGGAGATCTGCCTAGAACTCCCACGCATCCTTTATAATCCCCGGAATCTCAGGTTCTTCCAAATGGGAATATCTGGGCTGCAGATCTGAGCAACAAAACCTTTAATGCTGTGTGGAAGCACTGGGAAGTATGGGCAATGAAGCTGAATTTCTTCCACTTTTAGCTGTCCTTGCAACACTAATTCCACCGAGTGCAGGCTGTGGGTTTACTTCCTGTATCTGCAAAGAGCACAACCAAATCCAATTACTCTTCACATGAGCATAATCCACATATGTGACCATTTAATGCAGAATATTTAGGTCTGCCTCATAAATAGCAAAGGAGTGTTGTGAGGAAGTGTCGTCTCACCCACAGGCACCTCACAGAGCCCAACACACCCATGCAGAGTCCAGCCCTACAAACAAAAGCACATTGCTTTCCTCTCCTGGTCTGCCAGTGCATTTCCAGTGTGTGCTCTGTGATTCCTAGCAGCTCGGGTGTTTTAGTCATCCTAATGTGTTTGCTTAGGCACCAACATTAGTGTCAAAAGCACTTAATGCAAAGGAAACTCCCCAGGAGTGCGCTGCTCACTGCCAGATCCATCAGCCCCGCGTCGGGAGCGCATACGCTGTGCAGTGTTTATTATTGTGGGCTGGGTCATGAATTATCCACTGATTCTGAGCGCTGCTTCCCACTAGGCCAGATGGGCAAAAAAACCTGCTGGGCTCCATATTGACAGGCTGAGAGGGTTGGGGTTCTTCAGCCCGGAAAACAGAAGGTTTTGGGGACAGCTTATTGTGTCCTCCAGTGCATAAATGGGGCTGGAAAGAGAGCTGGAGAGGGACTTTGGACAAGGGCCTGGACTGACAGGACAAGGGAGATTGGCTTTAAAACTGAAGGAGGGCAGGATGAGAATAGATTTTAGAAATTCTTGGCTGTGAGGGTGGTGAGGCACAGGTTCCCCAAACAGGTTGTGGATTCCCCATCTCTAGAAGTGTTCCAGGCCAGGCTGGATGGGGCTTGGAGCAACCTGGGACAGTGGAAGGTGTCTCTGCCCATGGTAGGGGGCTGGAACAAGATAATCTTGAAGTTCCCTTCTAATCCAAACCATTCTGTGACTCTGTGATTCTATGTTAGGTGGCTGTGGGTCCTTGTGCACTCACATCAGCCCCCAACAACAATAAATCTGAGTTGAGGATGGAAATATTTATTCTTGACTGATGCTGTGATCTCATATTGAGATCCTGTGACACAGTGACATCCTCCCACCCTGGAGTCTATTAATCAAAACTCATATTTCCCATCAGGCTAATTGGGGCTGGGTAACTGTGGGTGAGGTTCAGCCAAGGTGCCTGACCCCTTTCCCAGCCCCTGGCAATGACTCTGGATTTTAATCTGTGCTCCCAGCTGCTTTTCAGTGCAAGCAGCTCCATTTGGAAGTGAGGTTTTAAACCAGGCTTACCTGAGCCTAGATGTGGGTTTTGGGGCAGAGGATTTTACCGAGAGCCTTCCCATGTGACCCCATCTTTTAGTAAGCAACTGCAAGGCTCTGTCTGTGGGATCTCTTTAGGCAAATGGAGGCTCACTCACAACTTTAAGAAGCCCTTTTTCTTTCATAATTTATTTGCTGCTTTGATTATTACTTTTTTTTTTCCATTTTCTGTGTCTTTGATGTAAAGGAAACAGTTAGGAGGAATTTGAGCTGAGCTGTGGAGGTGAAGAATTAGTCAGAGATTACATTTCAATCTGCTACTGGAGTTTTGAAGGCAACTCTTTGAGTCATTTTTCTTTTCTAATCTCTTCTTTCTTCCCCCTTTATAGCAGAAAATGAGCTTTCCAGAGAATCCTGGCTGGAGAATCTTTCCAGCGAATCATATCATGCTGGAGGTGGGTGAATCCTCTCTGTGCCCACCAGGAGCTGCTGCTTTGCTATCATTCACCTTCTGCAGATCAGCTCTGCCTGTGGAGGTGCCTCCAGCCTTCCTGCCATGCATGCTCTCTTCCCCGGAGCTGTAACAAGGTAAACACAATAATAATATTAATTTTTAAATCCCCACAATTGCTTTAATTCAAGTGCTGTTTTTCCTGGGGTTTCCAGTGCCAAACTCTTATGCCTGGAAATTTCCAGAGCTAATCCATCCTTGTAAATGCTGGAGTCACCCTAACAGCAGCTGAATCAAAAATAGGCTTCCCTGCCCCTGTACCTATACATCTGGTGTTTCAGAGCCTGGCAATGATGGCTCTGACTCGCAGGACACTGCCCCAGTTCCTTGGAGATGGTGGGTGGAGGATCCCAGCCCGCACAGGAGCTCTCCAGAGGGAGCTGGGAAGTGGCAAGGCTGGTTTGCTCTTCCCAGATGCCAATTTACTGTAACGCAAGGCAAGTCACCTCCTAGCTACCATCAAAGTGGTGGTAGTGTTTATTCCAGGGGATTTTTGGGGTGGATTTGCCTAGGGCTGGTGCCTGAGCTGGAGAGGCCACTAATTAGAACAAACAATATTGACTTTCAGCCTCTTTTGAGAAACTGAGGATCACTTTAAAGAGACAGATCCCTAAAAGGGACTTGTGCCAATCCCTCGCCATTCCAGGATGGTTGGATCCAGCCTGGCTCATCCCATCCTGGCCTGTGCCTCCTGCTCTAGCAAGGATTTCACATCCCTACTACAAATCCATGGAGGAACTGACCTTCAGAGTGTACCTCTCTGAGAAAGAGTGACATCATTACAAACAGTGCAGCTCTGAACAATTAATTGCTTGCAATGTAAATATTACAAACAGTATTTTCACCCCAAATCCCAGAGTTTCTCAGCCTGTGGAGGAGGGGTATGAGCTCCTGCTCCTTCAGCCAGCTGCCTGGCTTGAAGCCAGTGTTTTTACAGTGCCAGGGAGCAGAATTTGGAGTATTTGGGTGCAGACATAGCGGCTGTGTCTTTGTCACCACGTGCCTTGGCAGCTGGAATGTGGAGCTCCTCAAAGGCCACACCATCTGATTTCCTGGCACGCTGCAATTCCCTGGACCCTTGGCATTTTACAGCCCTCAGAAAGGGTTTCTTGCTCAGGGCTTTGTTAGTGTTTGATGTTTTAAGAACACTAAGCAGACACCACTCTCCTAATCCTGTCAGACTTGCAATGAAGCAGATATGTAATCCTTCATGGGTATTAAATTTAATAGCAATAAAGTCTATTTAAGAATTACACTGTCAAATGCCTGCCTAAGCAGAGGAAAATATTCTTAATTTAGACCTCGTCAGGAATCTATTTGCAGTTATTGCCTGTGGAAGTCTCCCCTGCATGTGTGGGGGTAAAGATGAGAAAAATCAGCAACAGACAGTCCCAGATCACTCTTCTCTGCACACTTTTGGGGGAAACAATTCCCTGTAATGTATGGCCATATCCACATGAGTGCACATATGTTTGTACAGCTGCTTTTATATCCATAACAGCAGATGTGGGTGCACTCAGGGGCACCCCTGTGTTTGAGGAAAAGCCCCAAGCTGCAGGGTGCATATTCATGCCAGGGGAAGGATTCTGGAGGGGTGGGAGGAGAGATGTGCTGGGGGCTGAGAGAGAGGAGGTGGAAACTGCCTCAGGCAGGATCGGCAGCTCCGGGAGGGATGAGCAACAGGTGGGGTTGAATGAGGAATGGGGGGCACAGCCCTGAGGAGGGGAGCAGTGAGGAGAAGTCCTGAGCCTCTGCTTTTGGTGCCCCTCCTAACTGGGGAGCTGTAGCTGGGCTTTGCTTGGGCTTGGCCCAAACATTGGGGGAAGCAGGTTCATTTCACAGATGGAAAGCAGGTTTCACAGCTGAGCAAAAGGCTGAGTTACTACCTAATTAAACAATCATTTTAGTGCCTGAAAACCTTAACTCAGCCTCTCCTTTTGGCATGAAATGGGTAAGAGGTCCTTATCTGACCCTCAGTGCCATGGTTGGGATGGAGCCTCCGTGGTGGTAGTACCTGAGACACAGCTCATAGCAGAGGAGAAAGTCTCTCAGAAAAAGGCTTTTGTGAGAATTCAGGTCGAGAAAAAAGAGGAGAACTCCATCTCCACTGGCTGTGACCTGTGCAGCACGATGTGGTGGGCAAAACATGGGGTGGTCGTTTCGGATGCCGAGTAACTTTTCTCCGAGAAGAATTCCCATCCTCGTCCCACCAGCTGTGGCACAGGGAGCTGGGAGCAGAGAGTGCTTTGGAGGTGAGACCTGCAGAAATCCAGCTCGTCCAGAGCCTGTCGGGACGTCACACAAACAAATCCTGTGTGACATGAGTCCCTCTCCACCTCCCCTCTCCGCCCCCAGCCGGGTAGTGAGGCAAACACCCGATTTTGCTGTGGTTTACATGAAAACTTCTTCCATGTGACAAAATGAAGGCTGTGGTGTCGCCCAGACCCAACCAGCCACCGGCACAGGAACTGCCTGATACCACGGGCTAATTAAGGAGCTTTCAAATAGTTTCCGCCATAAATGATAAATGATAAATGATAAATGATAAATGATAAATGATAAATGATAAATGATAAATGATAAATGATAAAGTGCTGACTCTCCTCGTGAGGAGCCTTGAGAAAGGTGACAGGATTTGCCATGCCACCCCTCCTCTCCTGCAAGGAGCTACCGGCAGCTGCCTTCCCTGGAAAGCCGGGACAGGGATGGAAGATGCTCCTTCCCTTTTGGAGGCGTGGATCATCCCTGCCACGGGCTCTGGATGCCGGGCAGAGGATGACTGGCGGCGTGGGGTGACCTGCTCGGGGTGGGAGGCAGTTCAGCTGGCTTTGCTTAGTGCCACAGCCCGGTGCCATCCTCCCACGAGTGTCCATGCAGGGCTGGCATCTCCAGGCTGCTGCCCCTCTCCCGGCTGCCCCTCTCCCGGCTCCAGGCTGCCCCACTCCCGGCTCCAGGCTGCCCCTCTCCCTGCTCCAGGCTGCCCCACTCCCGGCTCCAGGCTGCCCCTCTCCCTGCTCCAGGCTGCCCCTCTCCCTGCTCCAGGCTGCCCCTCTCCCGGCTCCAGGCTGCCCCTCTCCCTGCTCCAGGCTGCCGGGTCCCGCAGGCTGAGGCTGCTCCGACACCGGCCCCAGGGAGCCGGGGAGAGCCGGAGCTCGCAGCTGCCTCCCCTCGAACAGCCGCCAAAGCGGGTGGAAATCCCAGGGCTGGGATGAGTTTTGGTTTGATCCTGATTAGGAGAGGGCAGGAGGAGGCTGAGCCAGCGTGGTCCCCGCTGCTCTTAGCCTCGGATGACCCCGGGTGAGAGTCCGAGCTCCGCTGCCCTGCGGGGCGGCTGCTGGCAGAGGTCTCCGTGCAGAAAACTGCTCTGGAATCGCTCTGCATCCCCCCGAGGAGCTCTCTCTCCCGAGGATGGGCGCTGGAGGCATGGCAAACCTTTTGCTGTAAAGCGAGACTTCGTGGGGATAAATCTTTGCACAATTTACAAGTCCCTCATCATTTTCCATGCATGTGCTGGGAAAGCATCACCTAAATCCGGGGTCCATTTTACAGCAACACAGGCACTGGATTCCCCACAGAAAATCCAAATGCTTGGAGAACATTTAGTCCATGCAGTTTGACATTAGCTAAAACCTCTGAGATGAACATCTTTTGAATGGAGAATTAGAGCTGTGGAATAAGCAGACTGAAGTCCCCTAAACTTGTTTTTTTTTACAGAATTAGAAATGTGCGATAAAAGACACATATTTCTGTGGCTGAGTCACCCCCTTGTAAACAGAGTGTCACATTAATGCTTGCCTTGAAACACCTTCCCTTGGAGCAGCCAAGCCTTGACCCTTCCAGACAGCATGAAAATATCTGTATATATAGTTCCAGTAGATTTGCATACTGTCTGACCAGCTGCCAGCAGCTGCTTAGGAGTTGCCTTCCCTGGAGGCAAGGACACAAACAGAAATCTGCATTACTGCTTCAATTTTCTCTTAAAGTGTAAAATTGAATTTTAAACAAATGAGAGAGGTTGGCTGATCACAGACAACTGTGGTGGATGCTCTGTACCTGCTGGCTGATGGAGGCTGTAAACCTGCTCCCAATGGAGCAACGCTGATTTACATGGGCTGAGGATTGAAACCATTGGATTTATGTTAGACATTGTGGCTTTTGACTCCTGGTTGTGTCCTGGGGAGTGTAGGAGAGGCAAAATTCACCCAAGTAAAAGGCAGCTGCTTGCCTCCATGTCTGTGGCAGAACAATATTGGCCTCTTAATTTCCTACTGATTAAACTGTAGGAAAACAAAATCTGCTTTGCCTGAAGCGATTTGGCTTCAGCTCAAAAGCTTTCTCATCAAAATGAAATATCATTTGCTGTGAAACCGTTAGCAGGAGGATAAATGTAGTTATAAAAGCAGCTATTTGTAAAACCCAAGTGGGGAGCAGCAAAATGCTGTAATTTAGGAGAAAAATCTCCACAAGGGCTCTGGAGGGCAAAACTCCTCATAAAGCCCAAGTTTCATCAGGACTGTGTGATGAAACAGAGAATTGTTCAGCTGTCCCTCACTCAGATACAGAAGCATTTTCTTTCCTAACATCTCTCTTGGCTTGTTTAAAGATGAGCTGGTTGGCACAGGGACCCCCCAGTCTGGTATTGATGTCCCCAAGCTCAGAAGAGCGGTTGGAGACAATTTGTTTGGGAAACACGAGGTTGGAAATGGTGGTGTAGCCCCCCAAACACCCACACACGGTGATCAGCAGGGCTCAGGGCTGGAAAATGAAGTATAACCTATATAATTCTATATAATGCTTAGTAAATAGCAGGTCATTTTAGTCCTGGGAAATTGCCACAAGAGGGAGATATGATTGGATGTGTCAAATGTATGTCTTTAATAAGAAGGAATCTTGAGAAATTGAGTATTAGTTCAGAGCTCACTAGAAATCCAGGAAAAAAAATCACCAAAGGAGCCTGCAGTTTTGGGGTGACCAAGGATCTGAGCTGAATTTTGGAAGTACTTTTACAATAACAAAGTTGCCTATGATGCATTTTTGCCTTAAAATCTCCCTAGACCTAATGAAAAA